GGCAATGAGGAATGAAAGCTCTCAGCAAGAGAAACTAATACAGGCACATAGGACCCAACTCCATTGTTTGTAGACAAGAAAATAGTTTATTTTGGATTTTGACTTATTTTGTTTAATTGACTTAGATAAGGTATGCTATTAACTTGTGTTAATTTCAAGTTTATATCAGTCTTTTGGTATATTAGAGTATTTTAATAGATTTTAAAATTATTCTGTATTTGACAACTTTTTCTTATTTTTGACTATTAACTATAATACTAACAGCAGCATCAAAAGCCCTTTAAGAATACTTTTTTAGCCACTAGGTTTTATTGTGCAGACTATCCTTTTTTGTATTTTATTGTATCTATCAGACTGAGTCATATGTCTAGACTCTGGGGAGTTCTGACTGACATAAGACAGGACCCAGGGGTGGCCTTAAATCTGGAGCAAGATTTGAGAGAATATGGGAGATGAGATAGTGAATTGTAGGTAAAACACAGTAATTCCAGGGAATTCACTCAAAAGCTTTATATTTTATGGGTCCTCATGCCTTTACATATTTAATGTATGTGCCTTTAGCAGTCTTGTGAAGCTCTGAAATATATTCTGAGTAGGTGTAATGAGCAGAGGAGAAAATGGTGCCAAACCAACACGAGATTCCTAGGTGGACACTGGACTAGGTACCAACAACTCCCCAAAGAAATTGAGGATGCAGATGAAAGCCAAGCAACTGCTTTAATGAAGGAGCCAGCAGAGTGCTGCTCCACAACATCCGGAGTTGGGGGACAAGGTGTATACGATGGCTTAACATGGAGTATATACATGTCCTGTGGGAGAGAGAGCCAGTGTGAAATTGCCTTGAGTCATTCTAATAGAGGTACCAGATGGCCAAAGACCTTGGCAGAAAGTAGTAGGATTTGAGATTCCTGAACTAAAGGAATTGCTAGAAGAGTTCAGTAGGGACCTATACAAAGGAGGAAACATTTCCACAAGAATAAAGAAGGCTGCCCAGCTGGTGTGACTTTGTGGTCCAGCATTGACCTATGAACCAAGAGGTTACAGTTCAGTTCCCGGTCAGGGCACATGCCTGAGTTGTGGGCTTGATCCCCAGTGTGGGGTGTGCAGGAGACAGCCAATCAAGGATTCTATATAATCATTGATGTTTCTATTGCCCTCTCCCTCTTTGAAATCATTAATGGATCTACATTTTAGTGTAATAGGTACGTACTGAAAGACATGGTTTCTTCTGAGCAGGATGCAAAGGTGATTCCTTTCCCTGGTTCTTCTCCAGGTAGATTAGAAGAATGAAGCCACGGACAAAAGGTGGTATATGAAAAGGTGGACATTTATTAGAACAAGTACAGACTTCCACATGGGGGGAGGGTCCCAAAGGTGGTAGCCCACTAAGCTCCTTTTTCCTAAGGTTTATAAAGGCTGCAGTTCTTTGTCGCTTGATGATCTCTTGTTATTGGTCACTGTAGCAGCTTCAAAGCTCAAACCCCATGTGGGGCCCCCTACTCTTTCTTCCCCTTCAGTGGTGGAATTCTCTATCTCCTGTGGAAATCTGTTTTCCTCTTTCTCCCTTTTGACAGCATTTCTCTATCCCCTGTGGCGCTTTTCCCTATCTTCTGCGAATGGGTATCTTTCTCTTCCCTTATCCTGTGGCGCTTTTGTTCTCTGTGAATGTGTGCCTTTTGTCAGCTTCATAGCCCTCTCGTTTGTAGCCTCCCCCCACCCCATTGGAGCCTCTTTATTTCTAAAACTCCCTAAACCTGCCTATTTTACCCCTGAAAACTCCTTTCAGTATCACCATTAGAAAGGGTAGAACCAGCTTAGAAAAATTTGGCACAAGTGAGACTTTAATATCCCCTGTTCCTTTCCCTGCCCTCCAAATGCCAGCACCGGAGAGAGTTGAAAGGTGGGAGAAACAAACAAGAAACAGAAAAATAAAATTATATACCCCTTTCTCAGAGCAGGCTTTCAGCCTGAAGCAGGACCAAGCAGGGGAAAAGAAACAATATAATGTCTGGTCAAGTTTTGTGTTTTAATTATTTCATGGGGCTAAACATTCTAATTTTTTAACAGGTTATTTCTGATTTAATGTGATAGTAGAACTGTCTATTACCTAAAAGTGAACAGAAAAGTTGTGGGCTTGACAGAGTTAAAATCTAATGGCAGGGTAAGATTATTGCCACTGAATAAAATTTAATGGGATGACAGAAGGAAATCAAATTGCACTTTGATGACAATCCATGGGTCAGGTTTATTCAACATACAAGTTTCACATGCTTTTCTACTGTCTTCCTATACTACCCAGTAGAAAAATTCATCATAACATTTATTACTGATTAACTTGCCTGCCCAACTTAGAAAATGAATGATAAGATAAAAATAAACAACAACAAAAACAACCCCAAAACATTCTAAAGAAAAGCCAGTAGTAAGAAAATAGCTACGCTTCATAGAAAGTTTTCTATCAGGAATCAAGCTTGCTTGAAACAGGAAAGAAACTATGATCTGCAGACATTTGTAGTTGGGGAAAAAAAACAAAAACCATTTCTTGTTTTTGCAAGAATGCAACACAAAAGGAATTTTGAAACCATTGGCTAAAATATTTCTGTTTGTTGTGTAAACACTTTCTAATACACAGCCTTAGCCTGAAGCATTTCTCTAGCAATTGCTCTATACCCTTGTTTTATGATGCTCAATTCAGCATGCATTCATCATTTGATATTGTATTTAAGTTGTAGGGATAGATATATCAGAGTGATTTTCTTGGAAAGTTTTATGATCCATATCAAACTTACTTTGAGTTTCAATACTACTGACAACAACAAATAGGAAAATGGAAAAATCAATGATGCAAAATCTTCAACATTGTAAGCAAGTTATTACATGTCTAAATCATTCTGAATACTTGGAAATAGCACGATGTGTTACAAACAAGCAAAAAGGACTCTTCAGTGCTTTTAGCCTACCTTATTTTGAGATGAATTACTTCATGCATTTATTTGTTGATATACTTACCATAATGTTCTATTAAAGGAAATGATGACCTCAAGGGAAGAGTAATCTGTTGTAGGTTAAATTTTTCAGAATTAGACAGGCTGAGATGGGGTGGGGGAAGGTAGGGTGAGGATTGATGTAAGAATGTCCAAACCTGTAGAGAGTTTTTATGAGTTCATTTGAGCCAAACTGAAAAATGACAGTTTTGCAGTTTCTTTTATGCATTTGAAATCAAGTAGGGAATCAAGTAGAAAGATCATATGGAGGTGGGAATAGCAAGTCAGGTATTGTATTAGGGGATGACCAACAAGATGATATGTGCTCTCTTAAAGGTGATCACTATGTCTATTTTAAAGGCAAAGATAAACCTCTTACTAAAAATGATATATGCCTGGATTGTTACTACCCACCGTGACCTTCCCAGTTAGGAATTTATGATTAGATTAACCTGTAAGGTTACTTTCCATAGAACCCTTTTATTTATCCACAGAAGGGAAGGGAAGAAGCAGGGTTAGGCAGAGGCAGAAGTCAAATTGCAATACTGTCCTGACAGAGTCAACCCTGGAGGAAACTCTGGAGCATGTATTGTCCCTCAGATTGCCTCAAATTAGGCCAAATGGCAAACAGTTTATCTCCATTTTGCTTAATCAGCAAATATGTGCTGCTTCGGGAAGGGTGTGACTTCTGTAGGCGGTTCTCTCCAGTTGTAACTGACTGACCCTAAAATAGCTGACAGCTAACAGGTTATTTGCTGACCACAGTCTTTGGAGCTGGTCAGCAAGTCCTTTATTGATGAGGAGTGGGCAGTGCATCTACTGTATTATCTGCTATAAATTTGGTATGCAGGAAACTTCACTAGCATAGACATGTGTTTATTGAATATATTTCTGTGTATTCAGCACTCAATAATTAGCATGTTCTATGAGAATAAAGTCTTATGACTTAGAAATGTCCATTTTGGGATTATTAAAAAAAATACTTAGTTTAATTAATCTCCTCTAACTCCCTAAGCTTAAGGTGTTCATAATTTCATGATATATTTGCTCAATGAAAAACTATTGTAAAGGTAAAAAAATTTTGAAAAACATTTAATATTTAAAATATGGATGATCATTACAGGCCAACATCCTATATAATAAAAGAGAAAAATGCAAATTAACCATCCCTCTGCTACGTTCAAGAGCCAATCGAAGTGAGTATGCAAACTAACCCAACAAAGATGGCGGGCCTGTGGGCAGCGCTCACATGCACAGGTGCTGAGCAGCTGGGGGCAGGCGTCCCACCCCGCCCTGCTCCAACTGATCCCGGCCGGTGGGCAGCGCGTGGAGGCAAGGAGCGGCTAGGGTGGGACGGGATGCCTGGCTTCCACCCTGCCCCGGTCACTCTGGGCAGGTGAGCAGCGTGCGAGAGCCTCTGGGCAGGGGAGGCTGGACGGCGGAGGGTGGCCTGTACTCCCCACATGGCAGTGGTGGCAGCCGTGAGCGCGCCAAGTGGAGCCTGGGGGCCTAGCTGAAGTAGTGCCTATAGGCCATCAGCACCGAAGAGTGGCTGCGCAAGTGCCACCTCTTGGCCCAGAAGGTGCATGATTGCAGGGACAGCCACCGTGGTGGGCCAGATTGACGCCCTCCTGGCCACACCATGGAGGTTTATGGATCTGCGAAGCCACAGGCTTTCGGTGCACACATCCTCTCCTCTCCCCACCGGCATGCGAACATCTCCCAGCGCGCTGTCACTCTCGAGAGCCTGCAACAGTCCCAGACCAAGGCACGCACAAGTTCCCTCCGCCCCTCCGCTGCACTTCCATCAACCCCAGCATGCCTAAGTCCCCCACAGAATGTGCACACGTCCCCTCCGGCTTGCTCATGTCCTTTGGAGAGTGTCTGGGTGTTCTGGGTGCTGAGGGTGGGTGCCTATGAGATGACAGTGATAGAGCGGAGTGGTGACGCCCTATTCCCGCAGAGAGGAGATCACCTCTGTGGGGCTAATGCATGTGCTGAGGTGGGAGCAGGTGCAGACAGACACACTTGGTGGGTGCGAGCAGCCCTCACTGAGGTGCCTTCGGTCAGCGTTCAAGATCAAGAACCCAGAGGAGGCGAGGAGTTCCGTCCTCTCAGTGAAATGGTGGGATAGTTAGGGTGACTGCAGAGGAGGAATGTGCACTTTGGGTGCCAGCACCCATGAGCGAAGGCTGCCCTGACTGAGCCTCGCTCGTGTGGGGCCTAGCGCACTCCTGCTGGGCAGCGGGTGACAGGACGTGCTTTTCCAAGTTAATGAGAGAAAACATTGATTCTCCCACTGCCCATGAAGGTGGAAAGTGAAGTGAGGAGACATGTGGAGAGTGAGCGAGGTTCCCTGTCTGGGGGTTCCAAATCTACTGTTGGTTCCTTTCACTGCTGACTAGAGATATACAGGGTGTCCCCCGAAAATGTATACCCACTTTGAATACCTACTAATTCCAATTGGTTTAAGCATGAAAAGAAAGAAACAACAATGGAGCCGTCATCTGTTAAAAGTGCGGGCACAAACAGGCAGTCAGACATTCCCCAAGGGATCCCCAATTGGAGAGGGTGCAGGCCGTACTGAGGGGCACCCCCTTTCCCCCTCACCCCTTTGCACAAATTTCGTGCACCGGGCTACTAGTCCTATCAAATAAAGAGGGAGTATTCTAATTGACCCTCACGCTGTCGCAAAGATGGTGGTGCCCACAGCCAATAAGGAGGGAATATGCTAATTGCTACCATGCCCTCAAAGATGGTGGCACCCACAGTCAATAAGAAGGGAATATGCTAATTGACTGCTCCACCCTCAAAGATGGCAGCACCCACAGCCAATAAGGAGGGAATATGCTAATTGCTACCATGCCCTCAAAGATGGGGGCGCTGCCGGCAGTGGCAGCGGCAGAGGTGTGATGGGGCATCGCCTTCCCCTGATCGCTGGGTCGCCTCACTCCCCTGAGGGTTCCTCGACTGTGAGAGAGGGCAGGCCGGGCTGAGGGACCCCCCGTCCAATGCATGAATTTTCATGCACCGGGCCTCTAGTTATCATATAATATGACTGGTACATTCTAACAATTATTGTGCTATGCAAAATAGCACAATAAGAACTACATGTATCATGGAAAAAATGGGGTTAGGGACACAACACTCAAAAAAACTTCATCAGTAACACTGTTTTACCGCAAATCAGCAAGCTGAACAAGACGCCTAATGAGCCAGTTAGTTAGGAGTCATCTTTATTGTGTGCAGGTTCAGAGCAGATTACCTCTGTCAAATTCTGAACCCCACATACAGGAAGTCTCCCGTATTTTATAATTTTCGAGCCCCTTTGTTTGCAGATATTATAGAGGGCTCTGTGTGAGTTATTGTTACAGACAGTTGTAACCTTGAATACATAATGAGTTAGTACTTGGAATTATTATCAGTATTAGTCTATTTTAGTCTATTTCATTGGATGGCCAGCTTGCAAGGTCAGACAGTTAAGTTTATCTTTTTCTATTATTTGAACTAAAAAACAAAGTCATTTTACAGAATAACAGACTGTCTTAAAGTGACAGAATTTATAATGACAGAGTTTACAGGACTAGGGACTATCTAACAATAGCAGAGAGTTTCAAATAGCAGCTTCATACAGGATGGAGGATACTATGCTTCAACACATTAATATGGTCTTGAGTGTTTGTGTTCCTCCAAAGTTCATGTGTTATAATACCCATCCAAAATGATGGTATGGGAGGGATTAGTGCCTTTTAAAAGAGGACTGAGAAAGCTTCCTCATCCTTGTATGTTCCTCAGTGCAGTCTGCATCTGGAAGAAGACCTTCACAAGAACCTGACCATGCTGACCCCTGGTCTCAGGCTGCCAGCCTCCAGAACTGTGAGCAATTTCTGTTTTGAATAAGCTGTCCAGTCCATGGCATTTTGTTATAGCAGCCTGAATAAACTAAGACACATACAGACACACATGAAGATGAACCATAGTAAAAACATTAGTGTTACGTATGTCACATGATTAGGAAATGTAAAAATATACTACAATGAATATGGCACTTTGCCTAAGTGCACACACACACACAGTGTGTTTGGGACGGAAGATGTTATTCCTGTGTGACTAGGTTCAGCTTAGTACACTTTTATGCATTCACCTACTATTTCTCCTGAACTAAATTATGTATAAGCAAGTTCAAAATTTGTTTTATGCTCAAATTTTTCCCAAGTATTGGAATACATTTGAATTTCCAAAACATGCATTATAGCAGAACAGACTGTACTTTTAAGACATGTCGTTTCCTCTGTTCTGTAATGGAAAAACATAGCAAATAATGTGCTAGGTGTCTTCATTTAACACCCATTTAATCATCTCATTCCATTTTCTGGAAAGCCTGAGTGGTAGATGTTATTGTCTTCACTTTCACAGATGGAAATGAATTGAGAGAAGTTAAGGAAATTTCTGAAAGTATTACAATCCATCAGTGTGGGGGCGGAAATAAACTCACATCTGTCAAATTACAAAACCCAGGTTCATTTGTCCAGATTATACGAAGTCTCCATTATTTAAACAAAGAGAATCGTGGGATGAAAGTGGTAAGATTTTTTATTTTCCATTTGTATGGATCTACATTTTAGTGCAATAGGTAACTCTATTTTTATACACTATAAACATTAGCATATTGTTATAATTTTATGTTCCTTTATGTTAATTTGACTATTTCCAAAGAGGCTGCTATTTCCCCAAATAACATTAAATATTTTTTCTGCTGAAAATGCTTTTCCTTACATACTCAATTTACATAACTTTTGAAAGCAAATGAAATTATAGGCGATATATAGGATTGTAAAAACAAGGAGAGTCTTGTATCACATATAGACATTTTGCTCAATTTTGAGACACTATAAATAAGTTTTATGTTATACTGAGAAAACACTGAAAGGGGGCACTTTAAAACTCATTAATACAGTTCAAATGACTTGCAAATTTCTTATTTGTTACTTCTCATAATCTAGGCAATGAAATATATAACACCACTATTTTTTATGTGCCTTATGAGCACGATTTTAAGAAATCCTAAAGCACTACTTTATATTCATTTGATTCCGTAAGTGATTGTCGAGGCCATAGTTGTATGCACTGTTTTGCTGCAGTGCCAGGTCACAACCTCAGAAACATTCTTTTCCTCCATATGTCAAAGTGCTTATAAATGCTGCTTCCACAGTGCCCTGCTCCTTCACCACAGGGCAGGCATATAATTGGACAAAGTTTGGGGTCATTTAGAGTATATATTACCAAGAGTACAGCTGAGACTTCTTGTTTCAAAAGTAATTTAAAATAACTGACAACTATACTACCCTAATTGATACATTCATCTGAACAAATAAATGTATGTTTGTTTCCTTAAAAAATTCTCTGTATAGGATTAATCTAGTAAGTGGCTATAAGAAATTAATATCTTTATGTGTAAACACTTCAGATATCTCTCTCTTTGCCTCTTTTACTGTGAGTTTATGTTTTTGCATTAAAGTACATATGTGTAATACATAACAATCACACATATACACACTGTTTTGAAACTGCTTTTCATCTGCAATACATTAAACAATATATTTTCATGTTTAACATTGTTTCTATTGTTATTATATTGCTGAATATTATTCTACTACAGTTGACCCTTGAAAAACATGAATTTGAACTATGTGGGCAGGTCTACTTATACATGGATATTTTTCAATGAATATATAACAGTATTATAAATATATGTTTCTCTCATTTTCTTAATAATATTTTCTTTTCTCTAGCTTATGTTATTGTAAGAATACAGTGTATAATACATATACAGTGGGTGTTCAGTGAATAGTAGGTTATTAGTAATTAAATTTTTAGGGAGTGAAAAGTTGCACAATAATTTTTTACTGCACGGGGAAGGTGTTGGTGCCCCTAGACTAGTGATGGCGAACCTTTTGAGCTCGGCGTGTCAGCATTTTGAAACCTAACTTTGACTTAATTCTGGTGCCGTGTCACATATAGAAATTTTTTGATATTTGCAACCATAGTAAAACAAAGACTTATATTTTTGATATTTATTTTATATATTTAAATGCCATTTAACAAAGAAAAATCAACCAAAAAAATGAGTTCATGTGTCACCTCTGACACACGTGTCATAGGTTCGTTATCACTGCCCTAGACCCTCATTTTCAAAGGTCAAGTGAGTATAGAAACATTATAATTTTTAAGCAAGTCTGTATTTTGACAGCACCTCTATTTTATAATTTTTAAATATTTTGGACAATACTATGCAGAACAACCAACAGTATAAATATTTGCACAAATGAACTCAAACTTTTTTTAAGCTAAACACAAAGAATGGAATTGTTAGGTCAAAGTACTTTTGTACTTTCTTGTGGTTTTTGCAATTATTTCTGAATAAGCTCATCCTAATTTGAACAAATATATTTCTATAAATATGTGATCATTCATTCTCTACTTCATCACTAATAATGGGTTGTACAATTTTAAAAGTTATATACATTCCTTGGTTGTTTATTTTACATGATGCTTTTATTTTACACTAGAGGCCTGGTGCACGAAATTTGTGTGTGGGTACAGTCCCTAGGCCTGGCCTGTGATCGGGGCCCTCTTCCCCGGCTGCTGGCAGCTGGCCATGCCCCCTGCCACCAACCATCCCGTTTCCCTGTTCACCATTGGGAGATCAGAGCCTGCTGGCCAGGGGGAGGGACCAAGAGATTGTTAGTGCGCCTCATAGCGACTGGTTGAGCAGTCTATCTGGTTGTTCCGCCGTTCGGTCGATTTGCATATTACTCTTTTATATATATAGATGTTCTTCCACTTCCAGGGAAAGGGGCAAAGGAGGGTTGCTGAAAGTGATAAAGGAGGCAGCAGGGTGAACTTTTTTGCGGGGGGGAGGGAAGAGTTTCCTCCTGATGAGGGGCTTCAAAGGGCAGCAGCCTATTTCTGCTACCCTCTGTCTCCAGAGACACAATTTCTGATTGGCATCTGGCAGGACAGAGCAATTGCAGGTATAGGACTGGGAGTGCCTTTCTGCATGCAGATCCCTGGAGAGTCTCTTCCGGCCAAGGAAAGCTTTGTTCTAACCATTTCTCCTGGAGCCAGGGCTGCTGGGTGGTCTGGGGCAGGAGGGCAGAATGGAGGTGGGGCAGGACAGGAAGAAGTATGAGGTAGAAGACGGGGGTTGGGGGGTGGGAGAAGGAGAGGGTGAAATCTATGTGTGTGTGGGAGGGGGAGGGCTGGTGCAGAAGGAGAATTGGGGTCAGCATAGGAAGGTTTGGAGGTACTGGGGGAGTAAGAGGGACCAGCAGATGACAGAATAGGGGAAAGGGTCTACGGAATCAGGTGGGGGTCCTCGAGGGTGAGTATAGACTAAGTCCCCTCCCCAGACCCTGCCATCTCAGGTGGCTAGTGGAAGGGGACCACAGCAAGGCGCTGAGCCCCCTACACTTTGTGTCTGAGGCTCCAGAGCATGTGGCCAACAGACCCCGCAGCGGCCCTGCCACCCTTGCCAAAGTGCTGCCATTTGAAACACATTTTCAGACACATGGATTGTTTTTAAGTTAATGCTTTTTAATTCACTCTGTTTCCCACTTGTCGTTTTTTATTGAAAAGGAGGATTCTGCTGGTTTGTGTTCCTTAGCGGGGGTGGCAGGGATATTCTCCATGAGCAGAGATCCGATGAGAGACAGAGACAAAAGGCCCAGCGAGACATGGGGAATGAGTAAACACGATCAGAGAGCGAGGAACAGGGAGAGAGATGCACAGGGCGATACAGACACATGACACAGGGTGCTGTGGACAGGGATAGAGCTTCCCGGCCGGGTGAGAGGGCTCATTCCGTGGAGCAGCGGCTCCGTGGGCGCCTTCTCCCCGGACGCAGCTCCCAGGGCTGGAGTTGGCTAACTGAAAGCCCTGGATAATTAGAGCTAGTTATATGTGTGCAAAAGCCCCTGTGGGGGCCGTGGGCCCGCCACCCCTCCCCCGGCCTGCCCCCTGTAATCCAGCCACAGCAGAGGGGCTTTTTTAGCACAGTTGGGGCTGAGCACCTAGGGGAAGGGCGTGCAGGCAGAGAGCCCCTGGGGCCCAGGGGTTGGGGTGAGTCCTCCGCCTCCAGAGCGACCCCCGCGATTACACAGTCCAGCACATGCTGTGGCCCCAGGATAGCAGGTTGTGACCAGGTTAGGAATTGGACCAGACTTGGTCTGAGCTCCCCTTGGCCTTGTGCTGAGTGGGCCCTGGCAGCATGGGCCCCAGCATTTGGGTCCTTAGGTTTCTATTATCTTGGCCTCCTGAGCATTCCTGTGTCTGTGAAGATTCTAGACGGGGCTCTCCTTGTATCCTGCCATGGGAAGTGCCTGTCTGGAGCTGAGGCCGCGGGTGAGGAAGGGACAGAGTCTGGTGCTTGGCTGTTGGTGATCAGTCTGTCTGTCTGTATGTGCCACAGGACCCCAAAAGAGTGACTTTTCTGAGCTTTCATTTTCGCGTCCACACCCGTTCAAGCCTCCTCTGAGACACAGAGTCCAAGGAGAAGGAGAAAGGTGTGAATTCCTCACATGTGAATGAGGCTTTACACTTTGAACTGCTAGCCTGAATCAATGATCTGATTTTGTGGTTTCAGGAGCCTTTGGCGGGTTGAGTTGGAGTGGTGGCAGGATAGGGTTTTATATTTCTATAGAGGTCCGGTGCACAGGTGGGGGCCTGCCTGCCTGCCCTGATGGGGGCCCCTGATTGGGGTACAGGTCCTCGCTGGGGGGCAGAGCTGGCCAGAACAAGGGGCCACATGTGGTTTGCAGACTGGCCACTCCCTCGAT